GCTAACTGTGTGCGAAAGAGGAGTTGTTGTCGTTCCCATGGTGATGATGAAAATGCCCCTTACTTGCATAGTGAGTGACAATGTCACACACAACAGAGGGTCTTTCCACGTCATAATTTAAATCATATTTCCACATAATAAAATATCCACCTCAGCATATTTACTGTGCACCACGTCATCACATTTTAACGACGTTTTTGACCACTTAACAAAAAAGACTTAATTGTTACGATTTTACAAAATTTAGGACTCAATTAAGACTGTTTTTAATAAAATGACCCATTTAAGATTCCTCATCAAATGAGTAACAACCGAGGGTTAAACCTAGTTCTATTATTATACTTCAATTACTATTTTTTTCACTATTACTTCAAGACTTCATAACTTATTAAATTTATACTTTATATATAGACCAACTCTTTAAAACTTGAGATCACCGAGGAAGAATTCTGGAAGACATTAGATGAAGGCCTTGGACTAGTGTCCTTGGTGTGTGTACCGCGATCAATAAATATGCCTAATTAAAAGTATCGAACTTTGTGCTTCTGAATTATAAACCCTAAGGCATGTTTATGTATTTGTAAACGTGGTTGATTTCTAAGTAATGGCTAAGACGTTAAAAAAATTAATTAGTTCCACTAAAAATGAAATATTTAAATGGTACAGCCGTACTAATGTAACTCTAGCTAGCGTAATTTTTAACAAAAGGGTGGTAGTAATTGCTTCACCATTTTCTTAGGATAATGAATAGAAAAATGGTTTGAAAACTCGCTAACACACAAAAATATGCTTTTAAACGCGCATGCAAGTTCAAATGAATTTTTATACATGTAAGCTTAATCCCCATGACGAAGCAGTGATTAAGAGTTTATAATCTCTAAACACGTGAGAGGGGAAGAAGTAGAGAAAAACAAAACAAATAAAAGTAAACAAAAAAGCCAGAACGACTACCTTGGGATTGGAGCCCTAAAACGAACATAATATAACTAATAGTAGCATAAAGGCATGGGTTCAGTCGCAGCAATCCTGACAAAACAGCTACATAAACAATGTGGCACCAATTAACTAATGCGTGTGAATAAGCCAAAAAAACCCATCAAAAGTGTTTGGAAATAGGCAAATGGGTTTGAAATGGATTTGGGTCATCAATTTTAGGGAATGAAATGTGATAGGTGGAGAAAGAGGGCATGAAGTGAATGAGAGAGAGGATGGGGACAAGGTGCTTAAAGAAATGTGGAAGAGACGATATGGGTAATGGAAAGGGGCGTGTAAAATAAAAATGAAATGTTTCCTATGCGTATGACATGTGTGTCGAGTAAGGTAGGGTGGATGAGGGCACAGGTGTTATAGGGCACTACCCACTAATGTTTTCTTATTCAATCATCAATGCACATTGCTCAACAGCACTAGAGCACCATCTTAAGTAGCTTCTGCTATTACCCATAACTTGTTCACCATAAACAAATGTTTTAAAATAAAAGTTATTGTCAGGGTTGCCCATTCACAGGGATTAATCAATTGCTCCATTCATGGTTTTTGGTTTTCCCTTTTGTGGTGGATTTTTGGTTAAGTATGCAGAGTTTGGTTGGTTGGAAAGTAGTAGATGAATGATTTGGTTAGTGACGCAGTCCCCTTGTAGATAGGAACCTTTTTTATGTGATTTGTTCAACACTTTTGGATAAAGAACCAATGGAAAAGAGATGAAGTGGGAGGGGTGAGAGGGGAACCAAAATGGCAGTGTTGCACTTGCGCACATAATTGGCACTATTATGGTTACTGAGTGGCTGTGACTCCTTATTTTCTTGGATAAGCCCATTCTACTCTTTCCCATTAATATCAACACTCACCGCCCCAATCATCAAACTTTTCTTTTGTTTTCAGATGGTGGAATTATTGCTACTATTCCATTTTTCCCTTTCCTTTTCAAAGATTCATCTTTATATTTATTATATATATATATATATATGGTCTTTTCTTACATCCTATTTTCTTAGCCAGAATTCAATATCAAATGTCTACGGATATTTCTTTTACTTAAATCAATACATACAATACTTTTAACAAATACAAATTCCAATATATGATTGTTAGTATTTTGAAGGTTGTGAAAGGAGTAGTTGATGTGGTAGAGAAAATGTAGAGATAGTAGAATGTAGAAGTAGTAGTTGAAAGAAGTGTTGTAGTTGTCTTTAGTTGTAGTAGATGTTAGCTCATACAAATGGTAGATGTTGGCTTCATACATCAAATGGTAGAGTTCATGGGTATTTATAGACCCATAGATTATTCTAGAACATACTAGCCATACCTTATGTGGAATGTTCTAGATTTTTACCTATGTAGAATATTCTTGATTTTTCTTCCTATCTTAGGTTTTCCTAGAATATTCTAGAACTTGTATTACATTTCAATTCTTCTATTTAAGGAGCTTCTACATTCTTCTAGAATTTGCATTACACTTTAATAATGATATATAATCTATTTTAATAAAAATAATATCATTTTCATTGTTTTGAACATAATTATTCTCTTGTAAAATGAATGACTTGCTTTTCTATTAAGTTTTATATGATTATATTAATGAAAAAAAAAAATCAAAACCCTTGCAAAGTTGAAATCATATTTATTGTGTATGTTCTTTTTAATAAGTTCGAATAATGTTTGTTTAAAGTTTATGTTTTTGACCCTCTAATATAACAATGTTATATTATCAATTTTTGCAAAAATATCCTTCATAACCACTACATCCATGCTTTTGGTCCTTTGAAGAATATTAAGGTTTGATAATCTCAAATTAGTATAAAAAGTTAGACAGCCTTACAAATTAGTCTACAAATTTAGCAAGTTTTGTATACTTTGATTTTTTTTTTGTCCAAGTTTGTTATGATATTGTTTCATTTCGATACTATTTTACTTCATTTGTGTTTCGGTGCAAAATAGTATTGGTATCAATATTGTTAGAAAAATGATACTTTAATCCACAAATTTTTTACATTCACTTAATATTATTATTTCTTAAGTTTTTTAAATACTATTTTATCATTATACTACGTGTTAAATGAATGAAGATTTGTGTCATCCTACCATTTACTCATATTGTTAATGTGTGAGGTGTTAGCTGCATAGAGGTTTATTATCATAATTCGTGCAATATATATTTTTCATGTTTTTTTGGTTTGAAACATTATTTTAACATTTATATACTAATTCAAAATGTTTACCATGAGATATCAAAATGACTTAATCCAGCTCATACAAATTGATTTATTATGACTTAAGTTAAAAATAAATTAACTTAATCTAGCTTATTTTCTTTTAGTAAAAAATTGTGTAATTTGGTTTGATCTATAACAAGTTTGTGGATTAGATAGATCGATTCATTTTAAGTATGTTTTGTTCTCTCAAATTATTTTATATATTTATTATAGTACAATTAAGGTGAATTTATTTAACTTATTTATTTGTAGATTACAGTTATGGTGTTAATTTACTTTACTAGATATTATTAAAAATAATGAAAAGCGAAAATCAAACTATCAATCTACACTATAATTGGACATACAAATAAATTAAATATCCGAAAGTAATCAAATATTGTTGAATAACATTTGTCAAATTAACAGCCTACGTAATTTTAGTACATAGTAAATAATTATAATAATAAAGTGATGAAACACGATAAAATTTTTTTTATAAAAGAATTATTATTGTTAAGTTAGGTATCAATCCATCCTTATCATAATTTAAACTAATTTAACATACACACTAAGTAACACACATTTAGTTTGATCCACAGTTATAAAATTAATAAATTTTTTTCCATTCAACTCAACTCAAATGTCTTATGACAAGAGTTGACTCCGATAGCCAACTTATAACGACCATATAATAACAAATTAATAGATGACTAATCTATAACCAAATGTTACAAGAAAAATTATCATATTACACACAATAAATAATATTTTAATTTCTTCTCAACTGAATTCGCAAAACATTTTAATGTTGTTATGATTTATTATATACATTTTATAAATAGCACAAAACATTTTTATAAATAGTAATAAAACAAAAATAAAAATATATTTTCTCAACGTCTGAAGTTAGCTATTCGTTATAGGACGAAGGATATGTACCATGGGAAATCTTATGGCACAATATTACATAGCAAAGACGATTAGGTGAAATTGGAATTTGGAGTATTCAATTTGAGAAAAGGAAGAAAGAAAACGAGATACTGAATGGTAGATGATAAAAGGAAATCACCATGGACAATGTCTTTGACAAAGGAGATGAAGAAGATTTAAGAAAAGAAAATAATTAATGAAAATAATGTCAATAATAATATTAGTATTATACTGACAGTCTAGTGCTTAATAATATTTTTCCTACGTATTACAAATTTGAATATCCCATACTCATAATTTAAAATGTCTATTTTGGCACACATTATACATTTAAAATGTCACAAACCTATCAACATCTTTTAAGGATTACATTTACCATTCACTCAAATGATAAACTAAAAATACATTTATTTTTCCTCTTCCATGATTACATAATCTTTTTGAATTGCGATCAGGAGTTTACATTACACATGTTTATACAAATATTAATAGTATTTGAGAAAAATCTTAATTTGACGTAAAAAAGTACAATTTTCATATGGAGTAATTTGAGCAGATGCAAAGAAGTGTGTACAATTATAATTATTATTAGTATTGTTTAAGATAAAATGAGAAATCCGAGGTGGTAATTAATTAAGGTTGTTTGGAAGACCAATTGAGGTGGTGTTAGAAAAAAAACGTGATGATTACACTACACGTAATGTTGTTTGTTATTGGAAGAATGTTTTTGTGACAATGTTGATTAGGCAGAACAGAAGAGAACACAAGGGGGCGTAGGCTGGGACCGCACAACAACAGTAGTCCGCGCGTGCTACTAAGGCACTACTCACGTGCGACGATGCCCAATGAGGTGCTGCTGTTCTCTATATATACAAACCCCATTCACTGAAGAGTGGTGGTGAAGCAAACAGAAGAAGCAAAATAGCCACTGAGTGAGGTTAGTGTAGTTGAGAGAATGTTGATCATGACACATGGATGCATCAGGGGTGGATGATTAAGATTTCAACAGGGGAGGTACCAAATCGTTAAAGCATTGCAGTACCTAAGCACTAAGAAGAGTGTGTGAATATATATACATACATACGCATAAACTAGGTTGAGTAGTACTATACTAACTTGTTACATCAAACCAATGGAGACACACGCTGAGATAAGGGTGTCAAAGTTCAAGAGGGTTTGTGTCTTCTGTGGGAGTAGCCCTGGCAAAAAGAGAACCTATCAAGATGCTGCCATTGAGCTTGGCAATGAATTGGTACATATGCAATTCCATTATGCTTTTATGCTTTTCTTTCCCATATCCAGTTCTTTTTCTTTTGGACAAATAAAAGGGTAAGTAACCTTCTGTTTCATTCGGGGTTTAATAAAAAGAACGTGTCATGGTTTTTTATTTCATTGTAAGTGAGCTGACTTAACGGATTAGGTGAAAAAGGTTAAACTTTGTCATGTATCACGTCTTGAATGATCAAGTTCCGTTCATAATTTCAGTTGGGTGAGTTCGTTGTGTTCATACCATGTGTGCAAGTTGTAACCTGTTCTTCAAGTCGAAATTCTCATAGATTTCATTTTGTTTTTTTTTTTGTTTTGGCGGAGTTGGTGTTTAGCTTCTGTTTAATGCTAGATTATGTAGTTTTTTTTTTTTTTTTACTTTTCCCTCATTATTCACAAACCAAAGGGTCTAGTCAATCAGAACCGTGCCCAATTTTTTTGCTCATGTCTTTGGATATCTATGGCGCCTTTCTCCTTTCTGAGCATAAAAAGTATCCATTTTTTTTTGTTTCTTGAACTTTATTAAGCTCAGTAGCTATATACAGAACACTTGGCAGGGACTTTACAAGTGCTTGCTGCTGATTGAGCGTGGGGAATAATTTTCAGTGGCCTTTTCCTTTTTCCAAACGAATCATCAGTTTTGCTTTTGTGTTTTTGACATCATGTTATCATAGACCTTCTTATTTGCTTCTGTTACTCTGGTCTTTCTAGATTGTTTATGTTGTTATTAATGGTCTCTGAAGGTCTCTAGGAACATTGATCTGGTCTATGGAGGAGGAAGCATTGGCTTAATGGGTTTGGTTTCCCAAGCTGTTCATGATGGTGGTCGGCATGTCATTGGGTATCACTCTCTCTTTTCCTCACACCCTATTTTTGGTAAAGTTTTCTCTTTCTCTATTTTCTCCCAAGGATTTTGGGTGGAAGGGGACGATCAAGAATCAGAGCCACTTGTGTTTGTGTTGGTCTCTTTCTCCATTGACTCTATTTGTCATGTTATTGTCTCTTGCAGAGTTATTCCCAAGACACTCATGCCTCGAGAGGTATGTCTGCTTCAACCAGCTAAAAAAGCTTGTAGTTTTTTCTTCTCTATTATAAAATTTTCCAACTTGTTCCTTTTTATTTTACTTGCTTCTCTTCGTCGAACATCTTCTTTGAGCACGTTTGGGTATAAATTAATAGTGTTTTTGATAGCTTTTTATAATGAAAATATTGTACCTTTTTAGTTGAGAAATCTGTATAACCTTTCTAGATTTGTATCAAACAGTATCTACTCTTTTCTTTTATTTCTCCACTTTCCTTATTTGTTCTATTGTATTCTAGTTACGTATTGCCGTTCTCCACAGTTTATATGTTCTTTATTCTGTAGTTTCTTTGGTTTTCAGTAAGCTCTTCATTACCCCCTGGTTCATATATGTCTATAGTCTCTGTTTCCTTTTGCAAGTGAAATCCTTTTACGTTCAGCATCTTTTCCCTTTGCAGGTTTTCCTTCATTGCCTAGAAATTTTCTTCTGTTGGTCTTGTTTTTGTTTTTTAGTTTCAATCTCTAGGATTATGAATTATTGATGTCTGTATAGCTTGGTAAATCATGAAATAAACAACCCTCATAACTCTCATAGTTGCTTTAGCTGCTCCTTTTCTCTTTACTTGTTGATCTTATTATCTGCTCCATCTCCTGTGCAATGGTTCCTTTTGCAGCTAACTGGTGAAACAGTGGGAGAAGTAAAGGCTGTAGCTGATATGCATCAAAGGAAGGCAGAGATGGCCAAGCATTCAGATGCCTTTATTGCCTTACCAGGTGAGCATGAACTGATAATTCTTGGTTGCATTAGAAAAAGTGGAAATATCAAGGTGCTTGAACCTTTCTAGTTTTATCATGTACCATTGACCATTTCTCAGTGTTTTATTCTTTTGAGAATAATAGTTGAATAAAATATTCCTGTTGATCTCCCTGTGCTCTTTTCTTATTCAGCTTTCAACAAATTGGTTTTTCACTTTGTTAAACTTATTTTTATCTAAACATTATTAAAAAGGCTTACCACGCCTAATCATGAAGGTTGTTGATGTTGACTAGGCATTAACTATTATGTACTTATGTATGTATGGTTTTGAAGTCTTACGTAATATTGTTGACTGTTCATGTACTTTGAGTATGGATAAATGGACCATGCACTTGTAATTTTAAGGAGTATAAAACTGGTGTGAGATTTTTAATCAATTAAATTTGGCACTGCTACAAAACCGGTTTGTGACTTTTCTTTCATAATAATTCATACATCCCAATGCTACGATGTTTAGAGAGCGACCCTTCAGAAGTAGCTGATCCTGACTTTCCCTGAGGCCTTAACATATGTGGATAAAATTTCAAAACCTCTGCAGCTCTGAGCAACTGTGGTTCTGGTTGAGTACTATCTTTGCCTCTACTTTCCTTGGAATCATGACGTGTTTTGTACCAAACTTCCTGCATTTAATAGTGAAGGGAAAGTAAAGCTAAAGAAGAACTATCACAAGATAACGTTTCCAACTAGCACCTGTACCTGACATGGAATAATGCCTTACCCTTTTCAAAGACTTTTAATTCTTAGTTGTTATGATTCTGAAAGTAATTGAGTGCTGAAAATTAGAGAAGATAGAGGAGGAATGCAAAGACAAAGCTGTCAATCACTCTCTATCTTGGGATCCCTCGTATGAAAGTGGATTCCTCAATTTCCAAGAGTAAATAAGATGGAGAGTGTGAAGACAAAACCAATGGATACATGTCCTTAACTACCTCTCACTTCATGCTATAACATCCATAATGGCATTTTTGACACAAATCAAAGGGTACAAAACAGTAAGTAAACATTACTTACATGCATCCGTATATGGAATAGTTAAATCCTAAACTTGTGGAGAAAGAGACAACCTGGTTGAAATGAAACCAACAATGAAAACTGGTTCTCACACTGTTATAATAAATTCCAGTTTCTCTTTCTTCTGCTACTCTATTTATTACCATCTCAATCATGGGTTGCTTATCTTACGTTTTTGTATTAAATTATATATAAACTTAGCAAGTTAAATGCATGCAGGTGGCTATGGGACTCTAGAGGAGCTTCTTGAGGTCATAACTTGGGCTCAACTTGGGATCCATGATAAACCAGTAATTGACTTGTACCATTTTGATGGAGACCTATATTATTAATTAATATATATTTTGGAGGTTTCCTGTTCTTTTAGCTTAACGAGATTTGACATTTTTTCACAACTTGCAGGTGGGATTGGTAAATGTTGATGGATACTTCAATTCGTTGCTATCATTCATTGATAAAGCTGTGGAAGAGGGATTTATTAGTCCTAATGCCCGCCACATTATTGTGTCAGCACCAACATCAAAAGAGTTGGTAAAGAAATTGGAGGTAATTTTCATAGGATGACATCAACCAACAACACTTTTTCTTCAACAGAATTAAGCAGAAAATGATATATTGTGTTAAATTCACAGGATTACGTTCCCTGTCATGAAAGTGTTGCTTCCAAGTTGAGCTGGCAGATGGAGCAACAACTCACTTATCCAGAAGAGTATGACATCTCAAGGTAGCTGAGTTTGCTTCGTATGCACGGAAGATGACTCTAGGTAGAATTTTGGAGGTGGAAGAAGCTAGTGTGGAATATCAGTATTCTGTTTTTTGTTCTTACTCTAAAAAAGAAGAAATTTCTTTTGTAAGGAATTGACCTGAATATGTGAAATTACTTTGTTCCCTTGTGAAACTGATTTCCTTTTAAGTTGTAAGTATTAGGGTCTGCTCAACTTATTATTCGACCTCAACTAATTTTACGTTGAAATGATCTTTAAAATGTAATCTGATTTTATAAAAACATCTGGTATGTTATTTGGCCGAGCAAAGTTGCAAACACAGAAATACACTGTGATATATGTCTTGATGAGGAACATAATCAACGGGCTATAGTTCAACTTGAATAAAGTGCTGATAATTAAGAAATCTAACAGTTATGTGACAGACATGTTCTTGACAGCAGATTTAGACTTTATCATGTTTTGGTGAGCTAAAGACAAAATACAAGAAATTGACCCCACAAACAGCCAATTCTTGAATGCAAGTTTAATAGCTGGTTGAAAGTGCATTTCCTCACGTAGTTGGACATATAGGCTGCAGTTTGAGAACTACTCACCAAAATTTAACATCAGAGTATAAGAAATGTTAAGGTAGATTCAGTTTACCACATCATGCACATATGATATTTCAGCCTGTGGGCCCCTCAGTTGCCAAGTAAATGTGACATTGCCATGTGTTACAGAGGACTATGTGGGGTTCAAAGTTCAAACTATGCGAGGGGCCATTTGCATGTAGGCCTGAGTTAAGGGATCATGTGCCACATGCAAGGAACTGAGGACAATATGATAGCCATTGCTGGTCCAAGTATCATCCATCAATTGGCAGTAGCTGAAAGAACTGCTTCGTACAGTTGGGCCTTTTGGTTAGGAGCTAATTCCAGAAGCTTTGAGTGGCCGCATACTCATCATTTATGATGCATTGCATTGAAATTTTTGTTGAAACATGGATGGCATGGCCGAGAGGGAACTAAAAGAAACACATCATCCACCAAGGTAAGATTTACAATAAGATTTTGACAATTCCTTTATGAATTTCCTACTACTTAGATACAGCTATGTAGAGAAGATATTTTCTTGTGATCTATGAAAGTGAAAAGAGAGGAGGCATTGACAAAATTATGCACACAAAGTTCCCTGCAGTACTTCTTCTTGCCCCTTTTTCTTCCTTTAAACATTGTACTTAGAAATTGATCTAATGCTAAACTTGTTGAGAACATAGTTCATAATCATATTTGAATAAAACACAGGAGCTACCCGTATTCATCTAAGAGCAAAGAGTGAAAACAGAAGAAAGAGGGGGTGAGAGGGAAGTTGCCTTGGCCATATCAGTCAACTTATCTTGTTATTTAGAAATCAATTATTGGCTAATAACTAATGAATAAAAGGTTCACTGTTTGTTATGCAGTGCTGGTTTTGGCAAACATCCACATCTTTGGACCACTAACCTGTGAAGCACCTTTCAAGTACTATTTTCATGTTAGGTAACATGGTTTGTATATTATGGTTCCTATACATTTTTCTCAAGTTAAAAGGACTGGTGGCTGTGGAATAATATTGTCAACCTTTCATCCTACATAGGATAGTTCTTGATCAATGTTACTGCGTGATGGATAAGGAAGTTATCCACATCAAAGCTCTATCTTATCTACATGCTTCACCATATGCAGAAGCTTTTTGAATCTGCAAATGCAATTTTCTAATTATGTTAGATTATTCAATCTTTTCGTATGTCATTTATCTCTTTTTGCTAACAGAACAATTGCCTTTACTTTCCCGAAGAAAAGCCACGTGTTGATTTGTGGTGAACTTCTTTTTATAATGACAGTATGTTTAAGTGTTATACTTCTCAATTTGTTCATCAATCAACTTTTAATCATTGTTCCCAAACCAAAGAAAAATAATCTGATTAGAATGCATTACTAAAGGACTGTTATACTATCATTATCTTTTGTAAAAATTATACTTAGAATTGTTTTTAATTCAGTAATAGTGTAAAAAAATTTTATTTCGAGAATATATGGACATTAATCACAGAAAAATCATGCATGTACCTGAGGTTTTAATGTATTTCAAATTATATTGCATAGAATATTACATTTTGGAAGAAGTTATAGCTATTTTTGAAGGTTAAAATCCGCATTTCTCAAAGCTTTATTTCAGATAACTTTTTATGAGCAAGTTTTTTTTATGGTTTATCTCTCTCGAAAGAAAGTAAACTGTACACTTATCATGAAATCTTCAATTTAGACTTTTAAATGATAATTTGGATTTGAGATGAAAGGTAAATAAACTATTCTCTGTAAAATTTGAATTAAATTATTTATCCTAT